CTGGGAGTGATGTTCTTGATTTTAATGGTTATTCAAATTGATTTGCATCATTAAAAGGGTTAGCCTATGTTTTGCTGCCTTTTGGTACCGATAGTGTTTGTAACCGTATCCAGTGACCTTAGTGTTTGGTAATTCTATATTCAGATTCTACAAACATGGAAATTTATGGGGGTTTTTTAATTTATTTTTGGTTAAATTATGGAAAAGCACCCCTGTTCCTTGTCTTGATTAAGTTGTTACGATCGCTGGCCTCTGACAACTAAATATGATAAAAGCTTGCAGTTGGTCGAGTAGATATTTTTTTGTATGTTGGGAACTGGGAAGAATATTAGTTAATTGATGTCATACATTCAATTCGAATGCTTAGGTAGATAAATATATTTGTCTACTTTATGTTATCTGTGTTAAACTGAGGCTCAATTTTTGAACTTGCTATGATAAGCATTTGTATTTTTACTCATGGATATCACTGTAACATTACTAGTTCATATTTGATCAATATAAATTGATGAATTATGTTTCATTATTTCATCATTCATATCTGAAGTGGACTCCTAATACAAGCCACCTTTTATTCTAGGCATGATCCATATTTTATTGTCTTGTTATGAAGAGTGTGTTGCTGTATTTCTTAAAATGAATTTCTCATCATACTTAGCCTTATAACGTGTGCCCGGTAGTTGTAATTCAGTATTGTTATAAAAAAACATTTCTCCTTGTTGCATTGTCAGTTAAACCATAAGCCAAGTTACAGGAACATATGAATAACATAACACACATGGCAGGATCCTGTTATCTTGCACATACCATCATTTTATGTCAATTATTATGTCCAAAAATTATGTCAAAGTAACATTTTCTTTAAACCATTTAGCATTTGCTAGAAATGAGTTTCGGTTTGGCCGTTTCATATTAAGTTGCTGAATACTGCAATTTTTTTAGGGCTTTTGTAGTGGTGGTTAGCCTTCTTGTAGAAGCTTATGAATGCATTATGTGTATATTTAATGGATTCATTGGCTCGTGAGTAAGTCATGGTGGATTGCATTTTATAAATATTCATTTGAACATTAAATAAACGTGGAATGATTTATATTGTGTTTACCCTTTCCCCTAGCTTGTGGCGTTCCATGAATAATGTTGCCATGTTCAATATTTATGGTCTTAGTTGGCTGATCCTTATATATTTATAGACTGCAACGACTACACCCCTACCATGACATCTTAATGATTGTTTGTGGTGTTCTAACTTTTATGCATATACGTGATTTTGCTTAAAGGCCTGATCTCTTTGTTTATTACTTAAATTTTTTCACTTATCCTTAGGCAACTTATTGCTTTGGTCATGAAAATTAAGAATACATTTATGCACTATCTTATTTCAATAATAGAACCATATTGTGCTTTTAGGCCAGCATACAGGTATATTGCAATCTTGTTGAGATAAAAAGGTTGGTGACATTATCAGAGAATGAACTAGATCAGTATCTGAACCAAATATTACGATATATGTTACTAGGAGAGTTATTTATAAGTACACTTTTAGACTAAGATAAGATTGTCATGTTCTTTTCTGCAAATGCACGAGCTGCTGTTTTTTCCATGGTTTGCTCTCTGGGCAACTATAATTGTCGGAGTTGACTTGAACATTTAGCTACAGCTCTTCTAATTGCACAGATTTTCACAGAGTTCCTGGTTACACGATGCCATTAGGTTCTGATGCTAATTTTGTTTTGCAGATGAAAGTATCACTACTTAATTTGCTTGGTCACTGGACTACGCCAACAAGCGGAGACCTTTCCCGTTTTGTCTTCTTTTCCTTTTCTATTACTTATTGCCTGGATGATTCTCGTGACAGGCTAAACCATTTGAATGTTTTTTCTGAGTGGATTTTACTTGGAATACAAATAAGAATGGCACACATTCTGCTTTGAACTTAAACCATGTTTTGATGACTTGTTATTGAGGAATTCACAAATTTTGTTGATATATCAAGAATTGCTTTGATGTTTAATTTAATTGTTGAATGGCCTCAGTTTTTATTATTAACGACATAAAATGTTGACTGAAGTTACATGTCCTTTTTTACTTTTACATCACATCAATTTTAATTATTATATATACAAACTCAAAAAGTCGACTCAACCATTCATCCAATCAACTTTATTCAAAATTAATTCAATTTAACCAATAAATTCAATCAAAACCGGTGTTATTTAAATCCATCGCCCCATAATTCTCCAGTTGTGTCTCAATTACTTAAAATGTAAATAAGTCTATTTTTTTTTTTTTTTTTG